ACGATTCCGACTTTCTTAGTGCGCTTAGCCATGTCTCCGCGACTTAGGCCCGAGACCGAAGAGAGCGCTATGTCATTTTAATTGATGTTAAATGTTCTGTTTTCTCGCCAATGACCCACACAGACAACATGAACTTGGTTTAAAAGAGCTGGCTAAGAAAGCCAAGAAAAGACACACAGAGAGTAGTTTTCAAAAGTTTTCCAATTGAGGGAGAGACAGCTCTTCGACCTTAAGGGTCAGCTTCCACACTGGACAGAACCCTGGAAAAGAGACGATGAGCCCTCAAGTTTTCTTTATTTTATAGCAGAGACATCAGAGGGGGATAAGGTTTCAAGGGTGGAGTCTTGTTTAGTAATGTCTCCTGGTCAGCAGATTGATTGACATCATGGTGAGTCACATCCATCTCAGGTGGTGTGTGGGATTTTAGGCAGAGCTAAGGCGGAGCGGCACCTGTGTCATGTATTCAGTCCCTGACAGGGAGTTTGCAGAGCCAAGCCTATCCCCTCAAGAGGCTACTATGTGTAACACAATCCACACACAGTCTACGGACAGCTGGTGACACTGGTTTTGTTAGAAGTGTAAATTCTTGAGTTCTGAGACTCTCGATCTAATTTTTCTGGTCCATTGGTTCTCACGTTTTAGGGTACATCATATCACCTTGAAGTCTTTTTAAGGTACAGATTGCCTCCCTTTCCCTTCCTCTACCATTCCTCCAGGTTCTCATTCTATAGGTCTGGGCTCCAACTCAAGAATTTGTATTTATAACAAGTTCTGTGGTTAATGGTGATGCCCTTGGTCAGAGGACCACATTTTGTGAACCACTGATCTATTCTTTACAAACTTAAAGTAGGATACTTATGTGCAAAAGGAAGGAGGGAGGGATATATAAATCTGCATAGATATCCTATACATGTGCTGTTTCCCAGATATTCCCAGGTTTATGTGTCCGAATTTCCCCTTTACATACCATCATACTCTTATAGAGGCAGCAACATGCAGTCTATATAATAGACTGTACTAGGGAAAAAAATAACTTTTAATTTTTTGTTCTTTTGTTTTATATCTACAGTTAAAGAAGAAATCATGTGAACAACATATAGCATGTTTATTTTATTAATATTTATTTTTTAGTTTTAAGTGGACACAACATCTTTATTTTACATTTATGTGGTGCTGAGGATCATACTCAGTGCCTCAAACATGCTAGGCAAGCACTCTACCACTGAGCCACAACCCCAGCCCCAGCATGTTTATTTTTTAATTTACATTACCATGTATTCAAAGGAGCAGAGTATCTTATTAGGAGAGACATAGCATTTAATAGAACACTTTGAGTATACAGGATAATGATTATGCCTTATTTTTTTTTCTCTTTCCCTTTCTGGTACTGGGAACTGAACCCAGATGTACTCTACCACYGAGGTATATCCTTAACCCTTTTTCATTTTCATTTTGAACAGGATCTCACTAAATTGCTGAGGTCTTGAACTTCCAGTCCTCCTGAGGAGCTGAGATTACAGGTGTGCACCACCATACCCAGTTGATACTTTACTTTTTGTAGTTTTGAATTGGGCATAGTGCTAAGAGGTTGGATATTTAGTGATGATAATTTGCTTTTACAGACTTCATTTCCCACCCTGGAGATCTCAAGCTTATTAATGTGTGTTGTTTACAGTCCAACTCCAAGTGTCTCCTAGGTTGTAATCTTTGATATTCTAGCTATTTTTGCAAGATGTTAGTTATATCATCTGTCCTTGATTATTTAGTTTTTAAAATACATGACTATTTTATGTATTCTTACTTAATTACAGGTGTACTCAGGGCTGGGTGAGGTGGTACACACTCATAATCCCAGTKTCTTGGGAGACTGAGGCAGGAGAATAGTAAGATAATTTCCCAAAGAATTTCATTGTCAGGCTGGGATGTAGCTCAGTGGGAGAGCACTTTTCTCAGATACATGAGACCCTGGGTTTGAGCCTCAGTACCATAAAAAAAGAAGAAGAAGAAGAAGAACTTAATTGTCAGTACTCTCATTTCTGTAATCTGTTGCACTGATAGTTGCTAAATGATCCTACTTTTGGTCACCAAGTATTATTGCCTCTTTTAAGAATCCTTATCTTCAAGCCATGGGTGATAGCTCATGCTTGTTATCCTAGCTATTGGGAAGCCAAGACTAGCAAATTTGAGGCCAGCCTGGACAATTTAGCCAGACCCTATTTAAAAAGAGAAAAGAAAAAAAAAAAAGAGGGGATGGGTATGTAGCTCAGTGGTGTAGCTCGATCCTTAATATGGGGTGAGGAGAGAATACTTTTCTTCAGTTTCTTTTTTTTATTTCCACCGCCCCAGCATCGTCTTCTACTTGTATTATAATTTCAGTGGCTATATCTTCTCATTACCATTCCGGAGTTCAGTTTAATTTCTTCAGATTCTTCTTCCCTACTTTGTTGTTTCAAATTTCTAGACTGGGCTGGGGATGTGGCTCAAGCGGTAGCGCGCTCGCCTGGCATGCGTGCGGCCCGGGTTCGATCCTCAGCACCACAAACAAGCAAAGGTGTTGTGTCCGCCGAGAACTCAAAATAAATAAATATTTAAAAAAAAAAAAGAAAGTCTCCTCTACAAATTTCTAGACTGGTATATAAGTTTCCTCATGATCCAGCCCCACCATGCTTAACATTAGATTTATTGAGTTCAACAATATATCAGACTTTGTACTCAGCCCTGGAAATATGGCATATGTGACAGCATTCTGTGTACCCTCCAAGAGCTTTCCATTTATGTGGAAGGTATTTTAAAGTTATTAGAAAAATATTTATTATGTAATTAATCTTTAAATATCTGAGATGGGGTACTGCATTCTATTCATTGTTTCTCCTTCCCATCTGCTTCCCCTTCACTAGTTGCTGTACTTTGAATTTTAATGAACTATCAGGACCTTTTATGGCTCCTTTATTTTGTACTGTTAATCTCTTGTTTGTGTGTTATCTTTCTCCTTTTTTTCCTAATTAATTCTGATATTCCTTTAAGAACCAATTTAGATATATATGCAGGCAGAATTAGTTGTCCCATCTTTTGTTTTGATATACATCTCAATCAGTGAATTATTTGTTTCTGTTTTCTTTATTGTAGAGCAAGAGCTCTTTAAGGACAGAGATATCTTTGTGTCTCATTGCCTAGAAAAGTGCCTGGTATTTACAGGGTGTCAGAAATGTTCATTACATGAAATCAAGAGGAATTTTTGCAATACTAATAGCAGGGATTGAATTTAAATTGGCTTCAGTGGCATGTGTATTTGTTGATTTTTACAGTACTTTTTACTGGATATATGTATTTGCTTTTTTACATAGCCTTACTAGACAAGATTATGAACCCCTTTGTGGCAAAAATGGTAGCTGTGTTTAAAAGTACCCATTGTGGATACTTAGTGGCAGTGGTTAGGAAGCATTATCAGTTTTCTGCATGTTGTATCTTAAACACAAAAGAGACACATTCCAGGTTTCTGAATATCTCCTTGAAAAAGTAAATGCAAACCAGGTGTGGGCATTTTAAGTAATCACTCTGCAATAATGTGACCTTGAGCAGTAACCTTTTGTAATTCCTTATCTTGAAAGTGAAGAATAGCATGAAGACTAAAAACACTAATACATGAAAAACACTTATAGCACTATCTGGCACATAATATTCTTCTATTATTTATTTTTCCCACTTTTATTTTTCAAGTTTTACATTACATTTTTCCACATTTCTTATTGGTACATTATAGTTGTAAATAATTATGGAACTTGTTATATATTTGTACTTATACATAATATAACAATATAATTTGGTCAATATCACTCCCCAGCACTTTTTTTATATTTATTTTTTTAGTTGTAGTTGGACACAATAACTTTATTTTATTTATTTATTTTATGTGGTGCTGAGGATCGTGCTAGGTGAGCGCTCTACCGCTGAGCCATCATCCYAGCCCCCAGCACTTTTTTCTATTAGTTCTTTACCTCAAAAGATGGAATGAAATGCCTCAACTTTTTTGAAGCCCAAAGCATCTCTGAAAATACTATTTAGGCTTACAATGTCCACTACAATTTTTTTAAATCTACTGGGAGGATTATCTCTGAACTATTGAGTTGAATATAGTATAAAATGTTAAGTAAACTTGACACTGTTGACAGTGATTTTGTTTTTGCAGATGTTCTCAAATAGTGATGAAGCTGTAATCAATAAAAAACTTCCCAAAGAACTCCTATTACGGTAAGTCTGAATGCTAATTTTGAGTGGTTTGTTTTTTGTTTTGAGTATATATTATTTGTGTATTTAAATTGTTTTTTAGATTTGTTGTCAGTTTTCATTTATGTATAGTCTTACCTGGTTTGTTTCAATCCCTCTACTGGAGATTGACGAGGGCCTCATACATTGTAGACAAGTCCTCTATACTGAGCTACATCTGCAGCCCTTTTTATTTTGGGACACTCTTATTACATTGACATGGTTGCCCTTGAACTTGTGATCTCTTTCCTCAGCCTCCTTAGTAGCAAGGATTATCCACCATGCCTGGCTTGATTTTTTTGTTGTTGTTTTGTTATTGTTTTTGTGCCAAGAATTGAACCCAAGGACACTTAACAACTAAGCCACAATCCCAGCCCTTTTTATTTTTTATTCAGAGACACTGTCTTCTTGGCTTACTTAGGGCCTCATTGAGTTAGTGAGGCTGACTTGGAACTTGTGATCCTCCTGCCTCAGCTTCTTGAGTCACTGGTATTGCAGATGTGTGCCACGACACATAGATGACTTGAATTTTTAAATTTATTGATTTTTTTAAACTATCTTATTCCACATTTTTTAGGTGTGAGTCAGGATATTTGAAAGTTTAATTTAGTAGCAGTTTTTCCACTTACATCTATATTTGATTTTGTTTATTAATTTTACCTTTGCCCTATTCTTATATAGGTGGTATTGAGATAGGGTCTTGCTAAGTTGCTTAGGGTACCTTATTTTGAACATGTAAAAACTATATTTGGGGGTTAACCATAACAAAAACAGAGCCCCAAACTTAAAAACATCTGATTTAGAAATCATCTAAGAAGAAATTGGCTGTTAGGTTGTTTTCAGAGCCCCTTCATTATTTGGGCACTTAATCATGACATTTCTTGTTCATTTATGTAGCGTATCATGTGAGAAAGAGGTACGTTCTCTTTCGGAAATGTTAAGAGTTAACAAGTTACTGTGCTCAGGGGCATCTGCAGCTTTGAAGCTATTGCAGTCTAGCCTGTTACCAGCCCCATGCCTGCTTCATTTTAGAATATAATCTCTGTTCTCTTGCTGGTAAAGATAAGTATTCCTGGCATTCCTAAATATTTGCATGTCTGAATCCTCTACTAGATTACAAAATCCTTCCAAATGGGAACTATACCATGTAAATACTTAGTACCCAATGAAATATTCTCCATTTATTTACTCTATAAAGCTTTCACGTTGGAGACACTGAAAAAAAATAATTGAATTTAGAATGTATTTTCCATGGAAGCCTTCTTATAGGCTGCCTATGGTTACATTGTATAATATTGTACCATTAGAGTCACTGGAGAATAATCTCAAATATCTTGAGTATTCCCAAAAATTTAAGTTAAATTTTAGCCATCTTAAATAGTTGTGTGCTTTGTTTTGTTTTTCTGTATTGAGCGCAGGGTAGGCAAGTGCTACCACTGAGCTACACCCCGAGCCTAAGAAATATTTTTTAAATGGGTTATGTTCTTAACTATACTATAAGTTGAGTAAACCAAGACATAATTTTCTAATGATAGTGCCATTTTGGACCTTAATACTACTTTATACTATAGTAGTTTACTTACAACTTAAAAGATTTAGAGAAATTATTTGACTCTGGTAACTGCTCCCACTCTATTGTGGTTTACATTTTGATGTTATATAACTTTTAGATTTTGTTTTAACCATGAAACCCAAATTCCACACTACGGCCTGCAAGATCCCTCATAATGTGACAGTGGAATAACATGATCTGATGCATATTTCTAAAGGGTTAGTCTGGCTACTATGTGAAAACCAGATGGGGTTAGGAGTGGAGCAATAAAAAAGTTATTAAAGAAATTTAGCCAAGAGATAAGGTACTAGAGAGAACATTTTCTGTAATTCTTTAGAGTACAGAACTGCCTACCTCTCCTACCTCTGCCCTTTCTAGCTTTGGTTACTGTTTTTTTTTTTTT